CACTGATGGACCTCTGCTCCATATGCTTATCCAATTCCCTCTTGAAGCCGTCCATGCTTGTAGCCTCCACCACCTCCTGTGGCAGTGAATTCCATGTGTGAATCACTCTTTGGGAGAAGAAGGACTTCCTCTTATCCGTTCTAACCCGACCGCTCAGCAGTTTCATGGAGTGCCCACGAGTTCTTGTATTGTGAGAAAGGGAGAAAAGTACCTCTTTCTCTACCTGTTCTTTCCCATGCATAATCTTGTAAACCTCAATCATGTCACCCCTCAGCTGTTGTTTCTCCAAGCTAAAGAGCGCTTTAACTTTTCTTCATAGAGACAGTGTTCCAACCCTTTTATCATTCGAGTTGCCCTTTTCTGCACTTTCCCCAAAGCTATAATATCCTTTTTAAGGTGTTCTCTCAAGAGCAGTTCTTGAAAGAGCTCTCTCAGCCCCACCTCCCTCACAGGGTGTCTCTCATGGGGAGAGGGAGGGAGGGAGATTGTAACCCACTCTGAGACTCTGAGTGAAGGGCGGGGTATAAATCCGATTCTTCTTCTTCTTCTTCATCTTCATCCTCTCCCTCCCCTCTCCTCTTTCCCCCTCTGCAGGTTCAGATAAAGGCTTTGTGATGCTTCTGGGAACGGAGCAGTATACAAGCCAGGCCCTCATCCCCAGGGGCCTGGCCTTAAACCCTTTCACTATGATCCTGTACATCTGGGGGAACGTGGTCTTGCAAAGGTAGGATTCCCTACCCCGAACCCCGCTGCTTTGAGCGTTGCTGCGGCATTTTCCTTGCCTCTCTTCTAACCACGATCTCCATCTCTCCTTCCGCATCTGCGTGAGGCTGGGGGAACAGGATTGTGCAGAGCTTTGTGACTGGACGTCATCAACATGCGGATCGTCTCAGAGCATAGCCTTCTTGTTGTTGTTTTTTTAAATTTTATTTTGCATTAGTTTTTAATTTTGACAGCACGGCTTCAACAACCTTTGACACACAATAGAGACACGAAGGCGTGTGGCTGGATTCGGGTTCAATCGCACCAGAGAGACCAACAGGAATTTGGGGGGCACGGTTTTTTGAGAGCCAGTATCTAACACAGGAAGCACTGACCCTCGAAAGCTTATATCCCAAATACCTTGTTTGGTGCCAGTTTGGTGTAGTGGTTAAGTGTGCGGACTCTAATCTGGGAGAACCGGGTTTGATTCCCCACTCCTCCACTTGCACCTGGCTGATGTGACCTTGGGTCAGTCACAAGCTCCGGCACAGCTGTTCCTGAAGAAGCGGTTTGTGTCAGAGTTCTCTCAGCCCCACCCACCTCGCAGGGTGTCTGTTGTGGGGAGGGGAAGGGAAAGCCCTGCCACCTGGGTGCTGGTAGGTAGCCCCGACCCCTGTAAACATGTGGCCTTAGTTAGGGATAATTCGGAACTGTGTAAATCGCTCAGAGACCCTCCGGGGTTTGGAGCGGTATAGAAATCTAAAGTATAAATAAATAAATAAATAAATATAAAGGAGTTTGTAAGCCGCTCTGAGCTCTCCAAGTGAAGGGCGGGGTATAAATCCAATCTCTTCTTCTTCTCTTGTTGGTCTCTAAGGTGCTACTTGACTTGAATCCATCAATATGTGGGTGACATCTAGCTCTGTCTAAGCTTCTGTGTGTGACCTTCTCACTTCTGAATGAATTAGGGTTGGGAGACTCCTGGAGATTTGGGGGTGGGGCCTGGGGACGTCAGTGGGGTACAGTGCCCTAGACTCCACCCTCCATGGCATCTGTTTACTCCAGGGGAACTGATCTCTGGAGTCTGGAGATGAGCTATAATTCTGGGAGATTCCCCAGGTCCTACCTGAAGGCTGGCATCCCTAGAACCAATGCTTGGAGTCCATGAACCTTGGAGACCATGAACCAAAGCTTGGAGGCCATGGTCAAGAAGAAGAAGAAGCTGAAGCTGAAATATAAAGAGACGAACTTTTTAGTATTACAATAGTAAAAAAGCTTTTATGAACTTTTAAACCTCACAGCTTTTCGGCGTGTAACGTGAAATGATAAGCAGAGGAAAGTTACATGCAGGGAATCGTTACTTTTGTTCTCTCCCCTGCCCTTTCCCCTTCCTCTATCCTTGTGTATTTTAAAAACGTAATAAAAATTTAAAAGAAGAAGAAGAAGCTGAAGCTGAATCCAGACTAGGCAGAGATGGTGCTGGTCAGGAAGGAGCCAGATCCAGGCTGGAAAAAGTCAGGTTGCTTACCTGTAACTGATGATCTTCGAGTGGTCATCTGTGCATTCACACACCGCCCGCCCTTCCTTCCCCACTGCTGTCAGCTCTGCAGCAGTCAGAAGGAACTGGCGGGATGTCCGCGCCCCACCCCTTTGGGCATGCGTGGTGGGGTTCCTGCGCATGCTGGGGACGAGAGCGCGAAAATCCCATTGAGCTTTCTACATCACCGATCGGGGGTCAGCGCAGGTGCACTGTCCCATAGGTGTGAATGCACAGATGACCGCTCGAAGGGAGTCGTTAACCGGCTAAATATCAGGGGGAACTTCCTAACTGTCAGAATGGTTGAGCAGACTGCCTCAGGAGGTGGTAGAGGCTCCTTCACTGGACGTTTCTAAGCGGAGGCTGGATGACCATCTTTTGCGTACATTGTGGCCTATGCTCCTGCAGAGTGCAGGGGGTTGGACTAGATGACCTGCAAGGTCCCTTCCACCTCTAACATTCTATGATTCTTATGAGGAAAGGCTGAGAGAGTTGGGTCTGTTTAGCCTGGGAAAGAGAAGGCTTAGAGGGGACATGATTGCAGTCTTCAAGTATCTGAAGGGCTGTCACGTAGAAGATGGAGCAGATCTATTCTCTCTTGCTCCGGATTGCAAGACTAGATCTAACGGGTGGAAATGACAAGGGAGTCGTTACCGGCTAAATATCAGGAGAAACTTCCTAACTGTAAGAGTGGTCAAGCAGTGGAGCAGACTGCCTCGGGAGGTGGTGGATGCTCCTTTGCTGAAAGTTTCCAAGCAGAGGCTGGACGGCCATCTTTCGGGTATGTTGTAGGTATGTAGGGCTATCTTTCGGCCTATGCTCCTGCAGAGTGCAGGGGGTTGGACTAGATGACCTGCAAGGTCCCTTCCAACTCTAACATTCTATGATTCTATGAAGATCATCAGTTACAGGTAAGCAACCTGTTTTTCCCCCCAACCAAGATCTGGCAAAAAAAACCCCAACCCACTGGTGGCCAGGGGAAACACAGCAATCCTAGTGAGTGACACTACAAAAGAAAACCTGGGGTCTACTGGGGAGAGGGCTGAGACCAGGGCTGGCCCGAGGAGTTTCTGCGCTCTAGGCGAGGCTACCTTGTGGCGCCCCCCCTCAGCACAGATGAGCGGCTCGGCTCTCTTAGCCGCGTGGGGGCCCTTGCAGAGCTTCCAAGGCGCCGGGTCTCCCAGCAGGGAGCTCAGCATGGGCGGCTGAGGGTCTCAGAGAGGTCTCCGTGTGCGCTCCCCTCGGGCTCCAGGGTACTACAGCGCCCGGGAGGCAGCGCTCGTCCTGCTGCGCTGCATGAGCGACGGGAAAACTCATCCCTCCTTCCCTTCCTGCCTCATACATGGTGGGGGAGCTGCCTAAGAGGCAGTGCGGAAATGGAGCCAGAGGCCACGGGAGCTCTAGTTGGGCCAGGCGGCGGCAGCAACAGCTGAGAAGGAAACGGCAGGAAGGCGCCAAAAGCATAGTGAGGCTGCGCCTCCTGTCGCTGGCCTAAGGGGCGCCTCTTCCTCCTCACGCTCCACCGGCGGCAACGCTGGAGGAGGCCGGTGATGCACGGGGTGGACGCAGTGACGCCAGCACTGGGTTGCTGAGCAACTCCGGCCTGGGAAAGAGGCTTCACTGTGTGCCTGGCTTCCCCGGCCCGGCCCGCCGCCCCCACGATGGTGAAAGTCTAGGCAAAAGTCTAGCTCGCCTAGTGAGCGAGCCGGCCCGGGCTGAGGCTCAGGGCCCAGGTACACATAGCAGTTTGCAGTTGTCTGTGTGTGTGACTCTGTCTCAGCTGGTGTGCCTTTAGGGCTGTCAACCCCCCCGGTAGGGCGGAATTCCCCCCGCCCCGGAGGCCCGTTACCCGACGCCGGGGAATCGGGGCCCGGGGGGAACTCCGCCCCGGCGTGCGCGTCACCCAGAAGTGACGTCACACGCTGGGGGTGGGGCCACGCCATTTGAGGGGAAAACAAAGAGTTTTCCCCTCAAATGGCATGGCCCCGCCCAGCGTATGACGTCACTTCCGGTGACGCTCTGGCGGCGCGCGCGCATCCTCGGACAACTCCTGGACCAGCAGGACGCTCCCCCACCGGTACGTTTTAAAAATTTGGCAACCCTATGTGCCCTCCATTGTGTGCCTGGCTCTGATATTTGTGTGGCAACAGTAGGATAAGGAAGAGAGGTTTCTGCCCCCTAACTGGATAGAAGGTATGGAAAGACGGGGGCTTGTCTGCGAGAGAAGATCCCACTGGGGTCCTCTTGAGGTTCTGCATCTTATCCCCAAGTGGAGTGGGGTTTACAAAGGGGTGAAGGAAAGTACTATTAATCTTTTTTTTTAACACCTGCTCTCTCCTCTCTTTTTCCTTCCAGCCACGACATGGTGAATTACGTCTACCTCTCCAGCTTCCCGAGCACTTCCTCCATCAAATATTTTGTCCATTCGTATCAGGGGCATTATGCCTGCGTGACGGATAAAGAGGAGGTATTTCGGTTTTGTTTGTCTTAAGAAGCCACTGGCAGGAGGTGGAGGAGAAGAGTCCCGTGTGTGTGGGTGTGTGTGTGTGAATAATGGTGTGGGTCCAGCATATCTCCCTGTGGGCTCAAACTGCAGGTTTTTGTACCGGACATAAACCTGTACGATATAGAATCAACCACTAGAGGGAGCAGAACATGGACAGAACAGACACCCCCCCCCCAAGAAACATGAACTTACAAGCAAGGGAAATGAGAATGTGGGCATCCCCCACTGCAGAAGAAGAAGAGGAGGAGGAGGAGGAGATTGGATTTATATCCCGTCCTTCACTACCTGAAGGAGTCTCAGAGTGACTTACAATATCCTTGCCCTTCCCCTCCTCACAACAGATACCCTGTGAGGTTGGGGGGGGGGGCTGAGAGAGCTCTTTCGAGAACTGCCCCGGGAGAACTTGTGACTGACCCAAGGTCATGCCAGCAGCTGCATCTGGAGGTGTGGGGAATCAAACTCTCTTAGAGCGGTGGGTGGCATAACCCTACCTGATTGCTGGCTGCCATTTGCAATACAATGTCACAAACCTCCGTCCATAGTTCTTCAGGCACTCTATCATATCTAGACCCTTGAATCTATTCTTCACCTCTACTGTATATTCATCAGGGATGCGATCTAGGTCAAACCTGAATGGCCTCGTGGTTTTCCCAATTTTCTTCAGTTTAAGTCTGAATTTTGCAATGCGTAGCTCATGATCTGAGTCACAGTCAGCTCCAGGTCTTGTTTTTACTGACTGGATAGAGCTTCTCCATCTTTGACTGCAAATTATATAGTCAATCTTTGGTGTTGCCCATCTGGTGACCCATCATACTCTGTTACAAACGCAGCTTTGTCAAAACCCGGCATGAAGTCTTAAGACTTTGTTGTTGCTCTTTTTTCCAATTTTCCGCCTGGACTTCAGCACTTCTTTCTCTCGTTCTAGATCTGGGTCTCCGTGGAAGGCAGCTCAATCCTTGTCCGGGTGTATCCATCAGAACCTTGGAATCTATTTCGAGATTTACAGATCATTCGAAGGTCGACAGAATATGGGCATAAGGAGGCCATGATCAGTGTTTTCTATGACCCAGATGGGCTGAAACAGGTGGGTGCATGGCGTATTGGTGGGGGTCGCACTGGTCGGGGAAACTCGGGGGCTTGCTAGTAGGTGAGGGGCCCTCACAGGCTGACCCTAAAAATGTAACCTCAATGAAAGCGGCAACCCAGTGTGCTGCAGCGGCAGGGGTCATTTCCTGCAGGAGCGCACAGGAGCGGAGCCCCGGCAGTAAAGAGCCCAGGGGCGGACACATGCAACAAGCCCCACCCCCTGCTCCCAGCAGCCCTCAGTCAGAGCAAGAAGCAGCCAGGTAAGCTGCAGAGCCCCCCCCCCCGCTCCCCCGGTCCAAAACAGTCCAGTGGCGCCTTTAAGACCAAGGTTTATTCAGGTATAAGCTCTCCCTCCTCTGCGAGGACAGATCTGCACATGTGTCCCCCCCCAATAGCTAGCAATCCAAAACAGTCCAGTGGAGCCTGAGCGGTGGGTGTTGCCTTCTGACACACTTATAATAACTCATTAGCATGACTTATTTGCATATGCCACACCCCCTGAAATCACCGGAAGTGTGTCAGAAGGCAACACCCACCGTTCAGGCTCCACTGCTATTGGGGGGGGGGGGGGACGTGCAGATCTGTCCTTGCAGAGGAGGGAGAGCTTGTACCTGA